GACCCAGTAGCTAAAGCGCTCTCAAATATTGCTTCTGCTATTTCTTGTGTCCTCTATTAACATGTTGTTGTGTTTGTTAAAATGAAAACACTGGCAACAATAAAACTTCACAGGCATGCTAATGGTTAACTAATTAGCATAAAAAAAGTACCCAATCACAAAGACAAACTTAAAAAAAATGTGATGATGACAATGATTCTGCTAAACCAAAAGTTAAGTGATCACATGTGCTCAAAATCCACAACTTTATTGTGGTGCTCGAGGAACAATCAACAGATAATCAAAGTCATTAGGATGAATTTTCTGGGAATCGTGATTGTGCAAAACGCAATCAATACCCGCCCACTAGTTGTTGAGATATTTCCTTCTGCAACAACCGACAACACCATCCACCGAGTTATGCTGCTGGGATGGTTAAAAAATTAAAATGAATCAATGCACATGATATTGATGGTAACTTTATAAAGGTAGCATCAATAAAACGGTTTTAAAACACTGAAAGATGGTGTGAAAATACAACTGGAATGTGTGTGTGTGTGTGATAAACACATTAAAATAACCGCAAACAGCTTCACTTAACTACAAAGCATCCACAAAAAGGCCTATCAGTGGTGGAAGCACTGCCATTGTGTGCGACTGTCTGCAGGGGTTGGTGGGGGTCAGCGCTGGACGTGAGGGAAAGGAGCAGCTGGTGACCAGGGTAAAGAGGGTGCTGGAGTGTGCTGACCACTGGGTAGTTGGCATCGGGGTTATATATAGACTAGAATGGCTTGGTGTGCAACTGTCTACACTGCAGACAGCGCTGCGAGGCTGAGCTGCACATCATGCGAGCATGCTGGAGACAGTCGACGTGGTGATGACAGGGATGGAGGGAGACAGAAAGCAGGGAGGGGTGGTGGTGGTGACGGTAGGTATACATACAGTCATGGATAAAAATATTAGAGCACCGTTATGTTCTGCAATTTCTAATGCCTGGTACAACTAAAGGCACATTTGTTTGGATAAATATAATGAAAATAATAAAAATAGCTCACAGGAGTTTAATTTAAGAGCTGATATCTAGACATTTCCCCTGGTTTTCTTGATAATAACCAAAATCACTTCTTACATCAACAGCTGTGGCATTGTACTGCCAAAAACAGTGCTTTTAGGCATCCCGTGTTTTCTTTTCTGTCTGTTTTAGTCACATGATGCACACAGGAGTTGTGTGAGTGCGTTTCAACTTACAGCCGTTGTATATGTCAGTGGGGATGTGGACGGCGGTGGTGTTGTAGGAGACGTTCCGTTTGAAGTCGGGGTCTACACTGAAATCATCTGGAATGAATCCAGTTTTGCTCGTCTTATAGACCTGCATAAAAGAACAAAGAAAAGAAAGCACAAGCCAAATGTTTAAAAACCAACCTGGAATGTATTTTTGGCTTTATGTGTGTATGCCCTGGGTTTGTTTTGTATTATATACACTGTAAAAATAAATTGCTTTTGAATTATTTTTTTAAAACAATTTAGTCGTACATTATGTATATCAAGGATTGAAAAATTGTAACACTTTTTTTGAACTGCACTTTTACAAATTTTCCTTGTTTTGTTAAAATACAGAGAATGACCGTTAAAAATAATATAAATTTACATATTACTTTTTTAAAAAAAAAAAAAGGTAATTCGTTCTTTTACAATGTTTGACTGTAAAGTTGTTACTGTATTTAAACGAGTAAAAATATTATACAAATACAAATATTTGCCATTATTTTCAATAAAATTATGTATTTTAAGGATCGAAAAATTTTAAAAGTTATTTCACTGATTTTTCATTTTTTGTTAAATTACAGATAACATTTAGTAAAATCACAGAACATGTACATGTTGACTGTAAAACTAAATCAGTAAAATCATGATCATTTAACAGATATTTGCCATTATTTGAAAGAAACATGCTGTATATTGAGAATCAACAAATGGTAAAGCATTTTCTAGAAGTACTTTTATAAATGTTCCCTGTTTTGTTAAATTACAGATAATAACTAGTAAAATCACAGAAGATTACACAAAAACAAACAAACTAAAAAAACAGGCCATATTGTAGATAACAGTCAAACACAGAGTGACATTAGTGGGCTGTGGGTGTGTGTGGTTCTTTCCCATTGGGACAGTGGTGAGGAATTCGATGCTGATCCTTGTTTATCAGAGCAGACAGATGACGTGTGAGGCCAGAGGAGGCGTTCAGTGTCACACGCATACCCATTTGTTCATGAGTGTAGGGCCCAAAACATGTAGTGGCCCTACCGCATGAAAAAGGCCCCTCATACTCATCATATCACAGGATAAACACAACAATAACTCCTGCAGCACAGACATGTTTACATACACACTGAGTTCATTCCGTAGATTTGGACTGAGCAGGTGGACGATTCTTATAGGCCGTCAATAAAACCTGCTATCAAATTTGTTGCCATGGTGACAATCTCTGGAGGGCTGGATATTGGAAGCGTGTGGGGTTTTATTGGCGAATCAGGTTTTACTTACGCCATCTTTGGCATTGTAGTAAATAATCTTGTCATCCTGTAAAAGAGATCAAAACAGAAACAGAAGGAAAGATTAACTATGAGTGACAAAATAAAGAACACAGACATATTTGAGGAGGCTAAAACACTCACTGCTCTCTCTGGTTGATATACTAAAGTGTGTTTCATCAAAAACTAGTAGGGGTGCAGGATATCGGATTTTTCCCCATATGTTGCAACTCCATTTGGCTGATTGCCAATGCAAATGCCAATAGATGCACATTTTTTTTCATCTCATTGAGATGGCATCATGATGTCAGTCATTTTGGCTCCAGCTATTGGTCAGTTGCAGTCAGCACTACAGTTCTACACAAAGTTTTGCCATTATTTGAAAAAAAAATGCTGTATATTGAGAATCAACAAATGGTAAATCATTTTCAAAAAGTACTTTTACAAATGTTCCCTGCTTTGTTAAATTACAGATAACAACAAGTAAAATCACAGAAGAGTATTAATTTTTATGATTGTTGTAAAAAAACAAAAACAAACAAACAGGCCACATTGTACATAATGTCCACATGAAAATCTCTATTTTCATAAAGGGTAATTCTTTCTTTCAAAACATTTGATCATAAAATTAAACCTATTTTACTTTTTATTTTTAGTGATATTTCCCATTATTTTAAATTTGTTTAAAAACGACATATTAAGGATTGAAAAATGGTTTAAAAATAAAATTGTAATTATTATTTTACAGATTTTTTCTGTTTAGTTAAAAAACAGATAATACTTAGTAAAAAAAAAAGAAAAAAAGAATAATAATATTTGGGGGAAAAAAAGAAAAAAAAATTTGTAGTTTACACTGTAAAAACAAACAAACAAAAAACAGGCCCAAACTATTCATAATGTCTTCGCCAAAAATATACATTTTTACAAATAGCAACTTGTTCTTTCACAATTTGTGATCATAAAACCACACTGTTTTCTGTATTTCAGTCAGCTCATAATATCATTATTATACAGATATTTGCCATTATTTTTACTCTTTTGGCTGGGGAAACAATATTGAACATGACTGTATTCCATAATTGTGAACATACTTTTTTCTGGCACCCTTGCAGACAGATTTTTTTTTACAATTGCATGACATGCAGCTTCTTGTAACAGTGACTGATAGTTTCAAGTGTTAAATATCTGCAGAAATGTCACTACCGACAGATAAAGGATAAGAAACCGAGTCTAAATTTTAGGCAGTGAAAAATGAATGCAGGCATCGAGACGGAGAAGGAGGCGAGACGAGTGTCAGTCAAACACAGAGTGACATCAGTGGGCTGTGGGTGTGTGTGTGTGGTTCTTTCCCATTGGGACAGTGGTGAGGAATTC